CCATTGAAACCATTAATGGGGTGAACACCGAGTTATGTTATTTACCAAAGATTCTGAGTAGAGAATTTTCAATTTCCCTATAGGTTTTGTCTCTGTGACCTCTGTGAAAAAGGCATTTGCTAAGTAAGACTTCCACTTCTCAACTTATCCAGGAGAGGGAGTGAACTCTTTATTATTACTTATGTAATACGTTTCACCTATTGTTGACATAGAAGTCAATGCTCTAACACTCAATAGTTGCTTTTGAATTATTAAATTTGAAGATCCTTCTCACATCTTACACTTGGAATGATTATAAGAACACACTCCAAAGCTCCTTAGATCATCCTTATGATCATGTTCTTCATTTCTGCAAATTGACTGTAGCTCATGAAATCCTAGATTTCTATATTTATAGATCTTCCTCTATTTTGTTGCAGTGCTTCTTGTTGCTCTTTCCTTCTAATTTTGGGGAATTAATTCATGCTCATCACATCTTTCAAGATATTGGTTTCAAATTTATCCATTGGCAGTGTTCAAACCTTATTAATAAGACTTTCAAGATTTCATAGGCTTTCAAAAAAAAAAAAAATAATAGCTTGAAGAGCCTTCAAAGAATCTCATTGTAAAAATTTTCCTTTTAACCTTTTATTTATAAGGTTTTGGTGCTATACAAAACAAAAAACTTTGATTTCATAAAAAATAAATATATAATACATGATGAAACTTTTATAGACACTTGAAAATACTCATGCTCACGTGAACAACTACTTTAAATTATTATCGGTTCAATAAAGTTGCAATCCCTCTATATAAAGCCACAACTTCCTAATAAAATTGTCCTCTTTTTTTGAACATTAACGAGTAAAGCATGACTTTGAGCAAGAGTAATCCCTAAGCTTGGATGAAAAGACATAGTGATTGGGTTGGTATGCCTAGGAATTAAGTGAATAAGCCTAACAAGTTAGTGTGTGCTCCTCTAAGTTTACCGCAGATTTAGCAATTTCCTCAAGCTCCTGGAGAGTGCATTATCCTTGCCTCACTTCTCATGCAGACTAGCCAAGGGCCGGTTTGACCGTAGCCGAGTCCTCGACACAGTTGGGCATACATATTCTAAGCATGAAAAGAAAATTAATTCTAAGCACAAAATAATTGTGAACCACTGGTAAGACCAAAATTTTGTGGAATTGAGTACTATAAGCCATATATATAGCTGCAAAAAAAAAAAAAACTTATATTACCCAAGACAATACTATAGAAGAGACTATGACCTCCATTGCAGATACACGTTATAAGTGGGTATAAGGATGAGCCATTTCTTACTAATCACGGATTGCATCCCAGCTACTGGTATGACTATAATAACGATCAACCAAGAATTATTGGTATCAAAAATAGAAATCTAGGTACCGATCAACAAAAGAAGCATGTAAAAACTGTTCAACAACTTAGCCGATGAAAAATTTTATTAGCAGCATAAATAAAATCTAGCTCATGATACAATTTGAAACCAAAAACCAGTTTACAAAATTGATCTTCAAAACAAAATCTCAATTTGTAATAAATAACAATATGTACAAACAAAAGGGACCCACAATCACATTTTCAAGAAAATATCACATACCACATCAGTGCTCGAATATATCAGAAAGACGATGCCCAAATTTGCAATGTAAAGAATACCAAATAAAATCTGCAATGACATAAAAAAAAAACAATAGTAAACTTCAGAAAAAAGAAATCAATAATTCTAATCAGAGAAACAAAAAAA